TGACCTAGATAAGCTGCAAACAGCAATACTCTGCCCAGCAAGAAAATTGCATAACAAGGTTGTCCTGACACTGAAACTGACCAACTAAGCGAGAGGCACTCCTTATCTGATATTTCGAAGGTTTTTGGGGAGTGGATCTTAAGTAATGCAACTTGACCGGGGTTAATTGTCAGTTTGAAAATTCTTATTTGTTTATTTGAATCTTTTATATTTTGTGAAAAGAAAGATTATAGAATTAATACACACAACAAAAGCACAATCTAATAAGATCAGACTTCATAGATTCGCTCTGTATACGTATAATCTGCGCAAGAGTATACGGCACAGATCCATATGAGTCTAATTTTAAGAACATTAATTCGGAATAATTATTTTTAATAATTCTAAAGTTACAGGGAATTACAATGAGATGTTGGATAGAGATGTTATTATCTATTAAAAGCTTACATATAACATATTTTATAAATATGTCAATATAAAATAGCATTCACAATTTATTAAAAAAAACAAACCTTTCTTTAAAAATAATTATAATGAAGTTTTAAATGTAGATGCCATACTATGTAGATGTTTACTATTATGTAAAAGAATTTTATTTTCCCAATTTAAATAATTTTTCACAAAATCTTGATCCATTTGTTAATTTGGTTAAATTAACAAGATCTTTATCTATTTGTTTAATTACGGATGATCATATGAAAATAATTATACAGTAAAACTTGGTTATAACAAAGTGAATAGCACAACAGTAGCTGTAAAATTATTTCGCTTTATCCATAATTTGTTGTATCCGTATAAGTAATTCCTAAAATTTATACAGTTGGGGGTTTAAGAAAACTTTGATATATCCATGAATTTGCAATGTCCGCTTTAGTTCTAAACAAGTGTTATTATATATATTTTTAAAAAACTATCATTATTATTGTAACACTGACAGTATGAAACAAACGTTAAAGTTTATGAAGACAATTGATACAACTGAATGAATTTTATAGGGAGAAATCACCTTTTTATACATGCAGTCTGGATTATTGAAATTTGCTTGATTTTTAGGCAGTATATGTAACCCAATAATATGCCTTCTATAACAGCATCATTAATTTATAAATCTGATTAGGACAAAGGCATCAGCGTACTAAATTTTAGTTACGATATTCCATCAAAGTCTAACACTTGATAGTTTAATGCTTTATTTTATTTTTTTATTATTATTATTTTGTTTCTCTGTTTTCTCTGTTTATTTGTATGAAAATTTAAAATGAGATCATTTAATATTTGATACTTAAATTTATGTGTATCCATAATCAAGCTGATGGATCACAGTACTTTTTTATACCATTAAACTGATGAAAAATGTTGCCCGAATGTTTTGTTTTATTTTTACATGGGAAAAGATATTTAAAAGCATTGATTCTTTGCTTTGAACACCATGTTAAAGTGGAGATTTAGGGGTTAAACAGGTTTTGTTGACATAAAATAGCTGTATAAAAGTTGAAATTTTGTTAAATCAAAAGATCTGCAAAAGTTGCAAAAGATGAGCTTTTAGTTTCAAAAGGTTTATAAAAGTAGATCTATCAAAATCTGAAAGGTATAAAAAAGTAGATATTTTTAATTAAAAAGTTACAGAAAAGATCAAATTTTGTAATATGAAAAGGTGAAAAAGACAGCATTTTTCTCAAAAAGATTGATAAAATATTGTATTTTAATGCAAAAAAGGTGTATAAAAGTGGGCCATTTGGATATCTTTTTTGTATCCAAAAGCTGATCAAAATTTGATCTTTTGTACCTTTCATAGAATAATAAAAGGAGCATGAAAGATGTCAATAGGTGAATGAAATGTGGCCTTTTGTTTACTTTTTGGATATACAAAAGGTGGTTTTTCGTGCAGTGATGGTCACAGTACCGTCCTAATGTTTTAAAAAAAAAACAGTAATTAACACTTCTCTAACTGACCAATCATTGCCTCGCAATCTCAATCCGGAGGGTCATAATTACCTTCAAATAAACTTAATAAGATATGTAAAAATGCTAAACTAATAACTTTTATGCAGAATTTCTGACTAACCGATTGCAGATTTTCCAACAGATTACAATCGTTCCAACCGATTAATTGATTAACCGGTTAAAAATTGTAGTATATTAAAAGTTATTTAGAAACAAATGAGTAAAGTGTTGAATTAAGATTAAATAGGAAGATAACGAACAGTAATCAGGCTTATTATTTTAATGAAAAAACACAAAACTGGAGCTGAGCAAACATAGATATCTAAAAACATCGAAGGTGGGATCTGGTACCGTAGCGGAGTAAGCATCTACTATACAATTCAGTGTGAAATGGCGTCAGTCAACATTCGACTTAATTATAGATTGTAGTTACTGACATGTTCATTGTTTCGATCATAGAGTTTGTGAACATAATTCTCATATTTATAATTAATATATAAGCATTTGTCTTTAAATTTATAAATTCCAACTTAACAAAAATATTACCCTGAGTTAGATCTATTTGAATATTATTTGACCTACTGGATCCTTCCGAGTCATTCCTTTGAACTATGAATCAGATGATGAAAAGTTATTTTTTATTTTGATATGTATTTCAATTTAAGAAAAAATTAGACGATTCATATAAAAGTTGATTTACCAGCTGCTTCATTAAATAATTCGCAAATAAATAAACAGACGTTGTCTTCCTTTCTGTCGTAGATTTGAGAACAATGCTACCATTCTCTTTTTCGTTAAGAACGCCGAATGCCCTTTCTGTAAAAATAAAATGATGCCTATTCATTACAGCAACTAAACATACATTGCAGGAAAATACACAAGTAAACAAAAATCATGCAAAATAATTTGATGAATGGCAATTTAGATTCGAAGTAATCTAGGATGAACATGTCTTAAAAAATAAATGATATGGACTTCGAAATGGCCTTTGTGTTTTTCAAATGGAGCAGAGTATATTAAATAAAGGATTGGGGAACATCAAAAAGCAATGCAGGACTTCTCAAATTAAAACGTCAAATAGCGATTTTGTGAAAGAGGGGGCTTAGAAATAGATATACATGTCTTAAAGAAAAAAGGGCTGATGACGAAGAAGTGATCAGTCTCATAAATTAGAGTAAAGAGAAACGCACACAGGAAAAGGCACGAATCCACAATTAGGATGACAATGCTTTTTCGAAGATCTAACCTAATTTGATAAGGTTTACATAATTTGTCAACGCGGAACATATTTCTGCTCAATCCGTGGGTACAGACACACAACTTTCTACAAAATATCATCATAACGGACAATGTGTGTTCAATCAGAAGCATGATATTTCCATTTCTAATCAAATATATACTTTTTTAGCCCTGAGAGAATCCCCATGTAAACCTATTAATATCTATATTGTTGAAAATATTTTTCAACACCTTTTGATACTGATTCCTTAGACAAATTGCACTTCAACATACCATGAAAAGTTTATAATATGTTTTTTGTGACTGATAAAAATCTTTACAATATTACAATGCGATAACAGATTATAATTTAAGAAAAAAATGCTAAAGTGTTCCAAAATGATATCCAAAAGTTTTAATTCAAAAGCAAATGCATGCAAAAACACCGAGGAAAAAAATCAAAATATAAAATTGTATTTATAGATAGTATATACTGAGAAGATTTTCTGTCCCTTGAATATCATGTGAGTATTCTTGATTATTCCAAGACATGGAAATTCAGTGACGCCAACAGATATATTTCCCCTTTTGTCAGGAAGACTGGCGTTATGTTCAACACAAGATTGCCAAGCCTTCATCCATTCAGTGGAACTAGTATTACGATACTTGTTGATAAAAGTGATTTCTCCTGTGTTATTTCTAATACATGTTCACAATAATTATACAATTAATTATAAGAAGTTTCATTTATATCATAAAATATAGACTTTATTTAAAGAAAAGAGCAAAATTTAAGAACCATGCAAAATACTTTAAAAAAAACCCTGAAAATTTAGTCTTTTACCAAACTAATCAAAAAGAAGCAGATGATAGGTTTAAAAAAAGCATTTTGACTCAGGATTAAAAAAGAAACCAGCTGATTTTTCTTTAAAGAATAACTTTACATTGAATAATTAAACACCTAAAACTATTTGAGAAGTATATGTACTCCGACATAATCTTTTTTTTTTTTTTGACAGATTAAACTTACTTTGTTAACACAAAGTTGAACATGTTGAAATGTTATGGCAGGTAATCCTTTGATAAGCTACTGGTGGACCAACATCATTTAGATACAAAGCATTGCATTGTTCCTCATGTGGTGTTTTAAACCCCGCAAAATTTTTGTAAGTCACTGAAATTAATCAAATGAAAATGATGTTTTCCCTCTATAATTAATTTGTTACATTTTTTTTTCACTTTGAATATGTTATTATAATTCACAGTACAGGCATAAATTTATAATAAAATAAAGGTATAACAATTTATGACTTTGTACAGTGACACAGCCTCTTTTCCACCACAGGAAGTCTCAACCACATCAGCACATCGCCAATCACACAGTGATTGTGGCAGGTGCATTTTCCCAAATTCTTTTATATTATCTGGTATTACGAAGCAGACAGTGTTCTGTAGTATAAAGAGAAATCTATCAATAATTTAACCAAATTTATAAAAATGAATACCTTGCGCAGATCTAGAGGGGGGTGGTCAGAGGGGTCCGGATCCCAATAGAATTTGTAAGTTAATTAAAGTTTGATAATAAAGCAAGAAAAAAGTGACTTCGGACCCCCCTGGAAAACGCAGAACCCCCCTCTTGAAAACGCGGAATTCTGATAAGTTTGTATGAAAAGCCGTAGGTTTGAAGCAGCATTAGAAGTCAACGACTACCCCACGAAGTAGGGTTTTGACTTTTGGGCGAGTTTTGTTTTTTCTTATCAAGAAAGTTTTGGGTTGGATCTTTTGAACTGGGGAGGACCCATTCCCCCCCCCCCCCCTGGAAAATATTCCTGAATCCACACCTGAATGCACTCTAAGTAGTCCACAACGATATGACTTTATAGACATACATGTACTTTCAATAAAGAAAGACTATTCCATTAGAGGTAAGCAATGATTTGAAGTAAATTAGAATTAATGCATTTGGAAACTAAAAAAAAAAAACATCACTGTTGGATTAAATCCTAAGCAAATATTATTTTTGGAATTGTTGCATAATATTTTTCTTCTTTCCTGAAAATTTTAAACAAAACAAATTAGATTGAAGGAATATTTAAATTTTCTAGTCAATTTGAAATGATTTTGTTGCTTGAAATTCATTTCAGTATAATGTGGCAGAAATATTGAGAGAATATTCCTAAGAAAATCTTTTGCACAGACCTCAATCAAGACAAGTGATAATTTGTAAATTGTAAATTTTTTAGTGATGAATATTTTTTTTTAAAGTATCAGTATTGTAAGACCATTATTCAGAAAAATAAACAACTGATTAAAACAAAGCAAGGCTTCCCCTTTATATCTATCAATAACAGGAATTGCAAAACATGGTTAACACTAGCTTTGACATAGTTTTTTTTTATGCAGTTCACTGTTGTGTGTCAGATTAATAACAGCCTATAAATAAGGTAAAGAGGATATACATTAAGAAAATTAGACTAACCAAGGCATTTATCAATATAATCTTAACATAATATGTTCACTACAACTTTAAAATCTGAATTCTTTTAGAAATTCATCAGAAAAAAATCCAAATTATAAAAACTTAGTTATAGAAGATAATCTTTCGCAGATCAATCAATGATCAAGAGTATGTGATTATTTCCAAAATAATAAGTACATTTAAATCAAATAAATTCCAACATTATGTTAATAATAAGCGAAAGGGAAAGCATTTTTATTCATCATACAATTTCAACTGAACCTTCGAAACAAGAGGCCCAGGGGCTACAGCGCTCACCTGAGCACATCGGCTAGGAAAATGCAAATATCAGATCAGAACTGAAAGTTTACTAGGGGGGCTTCAATTTTAACCCCAATGATTTGAACAAACTAGAATCTACACTACCTGAGGATGATTCCATTTAAATAGAAAAATATCACTGATCATGGCTTTGAAGTACTTGAAAAGAAAATTCTAAAAGGTTTCCCTATTTATCACGATGTAAAATTTTGGTCGGGCATTTTGGCCCCATCCTAGCCCTGGGGATCATTATTTGAACAAACTTGAATCTACACTACTTGAGGATAATTTCACCTGAGTTTCAACTTTCCTGTCCCAATGGTTCTTGAAAAAAAAAATAAGATTTTTCCTATATATTCGTATGTAAGACTTCGGTTGGCCATTTTGGCCCGACCTTACCCCCAGGGGTCATGATTTGATTGAAACTTGAATCTACACCACCTGAGGATGATTCCACATGAGTTTCATCTTTCCTGGCCCAGTGGTTCTTGAGAAGAAATTTTTAACGATTTCTACTAGATATTCCTATCTAAAACTTTTGTCGGTCAGTTTGGCCCCACCCTAACCCTGGGGATCATTATTTGAACAAACTTGAATCTACACTACTTGAGGATAATTTCACCTGAGTTTCAACTTTCCTGTCCCAATGGTTCTTGAAAAAAAAAATTTTTAAAGATTTTTCCTATATACTCGTATGTAAAACTTTGATTAGCCATTTTGGCCCGACCTTACCCCCAGGGGTCATGATTTGAACAAACTTGAATCTACACCACCTGAGGATGATTTCACATGAGTTTCATCTTTCCTGGCCCAGTGGTTCTTGAGAAGAAGATTTTTAACGATTTCTACTAGATATTCCTATGTAAAACTTTTGTCGGCCAGTTTGGCCCCTCCCTAGCCCCGGGGGTCATGATTTGAACAAACTTGAATCCCAACAACCTGAGTATGATTCCACATGATTTTCTTCGCCCAGTGGTTCTTGAAAAGAAGATTTTAAAATATTTTCCTATATATTTCTATGTTAAACTTTGGTCAGCCATTTTTGCCCAACCCTAGCCCTAAGGGTAGGGTTGGTAAAAATTGAATCTACACTACCTGAGGATGATTCTACACGAGTTTCATCTTTCCTGGCTCTGTGGTTCTTGAGAAGAAGATTTTTAAAGATTTCTCCTATATATTCCTATATAAAACTTTGGTCGGCCATTTTGGCCTTACCCTAGCCCCGGGGGTCATGATTTGAACAAATTTGAATCTACACTACCTGAGGATGATTCCACATGAGTTTCATCTTTACTGGTCTAGTGGTTCTTGAAAAGAAGATTTTTTAAGATTTTTCCTATATATTCCTATGTAAAACTTTTGTCGGCCATTTTGGCCCCACCCCATCCCGGGGGTCATGATTTGAACAAAATGAAATCTTCACTACCTGAAAATGATTCCACATGAGTTTCATTTTTCCTAGCCCAGTGGTTCTTCTTCAGAAGATTTTTTTAAATGCCATTAATTTTTCTCTAATTCATAATTATCTCCCCTTGGAAAAAGGCGTGGCCCTTCATCTGAATAAATTTGAATCCCCTTTACCAAAGGATACTTTGTAGCAAGTTTGGTTGAAATTGGCCCAGTGGTTCTTGAGAAGAAGATGAAAATGTGAAAAGTTAAAGGCGACGACGACGACAACGACGACGACAGACAACGGACGAATTTTGATCAGAAAAGCTCACTTGAGCCTTCGGCTCAGGTGAGCTTAAAATCTTTGAAGCAGAGTTACATATATTTATGTCCCAAAATATATGCTACACTTTTAATCATCTTTAATTCTACGCAGTAAAGCTAAGGTGCACAATGGAAATATCGACTATATTTTGTATTTAAAAATGTATAATCGGGATAGCGATTATTTTTAGTACATTATTTATATCGGATAATTGTAATTATGACTTATAACTACATATCGAAGAAAATTATATTTTATATTTAGACTAGTCACGTGATGCTGTAGTCACGTGATTTTTGCACATTTACTTGTAGTATTGATGTTTCATTTAAATATCACTAGTGCAAGGGTATAACTAAGTTAAATTTTCTAGTTTAGTTTATAAACATTTTCAACACGCGTTGTAGTTTCTAAAAATCACTGCGATCCTATCGAAATTTTGCAATTTCATTGTTAAAATTATATTTGTATGACCGAATGCTATATTTTTTGTTGGTCAGCGGCATGAAATATTGATATAATTGATTGATTGTATATTGTTTAAGAAAAGATGATACAAACAATTTTTTTCTTTGAGAAAGATTAAATATCATGTCACAAGTTAAGAAAATTGGATGGTTCTTAGAAATTTTTCTCCGAAGAGCTGAAAATGAAATACATTTGGAAAATATTAGTTATATTACAATAAAAAAAAATTGAATATAGACAAATCACAGTCAGTAAAGGTTTACAGGTGAAAATAAATTTCAGAATATGTTATCCTGGCACTAAAAGTGTAAAATAAACCTTAGAAAAACATACCAAGCCAGGTGAATTTTGAGAGGAAGATCGACATGACAAAAAATGGCAATATCACATAGGCTGATTTTTACCATTTAGATTTTCCTAATAATATTCACCTGGCTGGGTATATTTTTCTTAAGTTTATATTACACTTTTAGGGCCAAGATAACATATTCTGAAATTTAATATCACCTGTAAACCTTTACTGAATGTGATTTGTCTATATTTGTTTTTTTCATTGAAATATTACTAATATTTTCCAAGTCTTTTTCATATTCCAGTTCTTAGGGAAAAAAATTTTAAGAACCATCCACATTTCTAAAATTGTGACATGATATTAAATATTTTTCAAAGAAAAAAATTATTTGTATCATCTGTCCTTAACGTCCCTCTCGAGAATTTTTCACTGATATGGAGACGTCACCGTATGCCGGTGAAATTTAGACCTATTCTCGGCACTCAGGGCCATTGAGCAGTGAGGGTTCTTTATCGTGCCAGCGCCTACCGTGACACGGGACCTACGTTTTTAAGGTCATTTCCGAAAGACCCGAGACTTTCACTTCTGATGCCGAGCGCTTGGCGAAGGAACAGTCACTATCTATTTTTACGTCTTAGGTTTGACGCGAACGAGAATCGAAACCGGGGCTCCAGATCACGAAGCGAACGCTCTACCATTAGGCTACCGTGAACGGTTATTGATATAATTAAATTGTTTTTAAGATTTCATCAGGATCCCAGCACTTTTCAGATACCTTAATAGATCTAGAGTTGAATTGTAAAAGCTTACTATAATCCATAAAGAGTATGCCTTTGAACTACATTGATTTAAGACCCCCTAATTACCTTCGATGTGGTTTAATAAAAATATACGGCAGTGTCAATTAAATACGTAATGTACAGAAAATATATTTATAAAGTAGTGAAGAAGACATTAAATTCAATTCATTGGCCCATAGAATATCTGTAAATAATATTTTATTTAATTAGAGAATACATCTCTTGTTCAGAAAATATTACTTGACCTGTCCCTCACTGCATACAAACTACGTCAAGTTTTAAGAAATGACGTCATATTGACAAGTGTATTGCGATCAGTGACTTGTTTATAACTTGTTATGTGGGATTTAACCAAGGACAAAACAGCACGCTATAGTAAGTTTTCATGTAGTTTT